CCAGAATCAGAAGTGTGGATATATGCACCTAATATCTATTCTCTGCAATCGTTATGAGTGCAGCTTTCGTATACCAGCGCAACGAGCGAATCCCAACAATCCGCGCAAGAACGCTGACATATGCGAAATCAAATGCAAGGCTAGATCGAATGATATACAAGCGTGTTATGCGACATTGACTATAAATAAACGAACAGGTGCTTATGATACAGAAAAGTGCCAGTATGCTATGGATAGATTCACTGTGTGCTGTGAGAAAGCTAAGAAAGCCGAAAGGCTTGAGAAAGAGGCCGAGATAAAAAGATCAGGGATAGATGATAGTGGAGGAAACAGTGGCAGCTAGAAAGACCTTACTACTTGCAAGTAATCTCAAGTACGTTTGCACCAATGAAAGCTGGTATTTTAGCTTACACACAGGATGTGTCAAACAGTTTGAGTATTGTGGATCCCCGAAAGTCTCAAGAATGAGCCTCAGCTAGTAACAGCAGGGATGGATGATAGCAAAGATAAGAGTGGTAGCTAGGAGGGACCCGCTGTTGCTTCAGAATCGCCACCCCCCCTCCCCCCCAATGGCCTTCTCAATACCAGAATCCTACACAAAGACTTTATCTTAGGTCTGAATAGTGATACGAAATATTGAAGTTCTTATCTCGGGTCTGTGTAGAGATATCATCGGGTATCATCAGCAAGTGCATTCACCCAGGCTGCACACAGAGCATGTCATATAGTTATAGGACTTCTGATCCTCTATGTGCATTGTTGTGAGTGAGCGTCTATGGTGCTCGATAGTAACCGCCATCGTTACTATTTGTGAGACTATTGCTGGTAAACTCTCGAAGTCTAGACAGAACTGCTCTAGAATGAGTTATAGCTTCAGTGCATTGGCCGGGAATGTCACTCAGGAGTACCCGACCTCGTTGCTAGTTGTCTGGGTCTGTAGTGGGTCGTCAGATTGATCATTCTCCTGTGGGACACTGCGATCAGTACTGCGGCTTATGGATGTATAGACGGAGGTGGCATCAAAGCACTGAATAAGAAGGTATTGTCATTCGCTTCTCGCATTTAATGACATGTATACGTACAAACGTGTCTTTACAGGTGCACGCTGTAAACAATTGTATAATACACCGGGCTATTGAAATAAAGGCAGCGGTTACCTTAATCAACTCAGGGGGTAGAAAGTATTTTCCTTGCCTTACTGTGCCGACATGAATACGTAGAATGTCAGCGCATATACGTGTGCAGATATCTGTGAAGTCACTTGCGCGACAATAGTATTGTAGTGCGCCACCATTTTGTGGTTGCGAGAGCGGCATTAGATCAGCGGGTACACACGGAAAACACGCAGGATTTATCATGTTGTCATCCGTCAGTGAATAGTACGCGGATATGACCTAATGTTTAAAGTTTTCGGATATAAGTAACAGAGACGCCCACGACGGAATGCATCCGCTGCTCGATTCAGTTCGTTCCGACTACTAAAATATTACAACCATACCAAGGCGACCATTATGGGAAGGGTAAGCAATCAAACTCTACTACAGTATGACGTATGTTGATTATTATGAGCTCGCCCTTAGTATAGTTCAACATTGCAGTGAACCATTCTAACTAGTGAATGTTTGTGTGATTGGACTGTGAGGAAGGGAAGAGTATAGGTTCATCGTTCCTTCTGTATTGTAGGTGCATGTACTGCAAACTCGTACATGCATTTGTCATGTACGTTCCCTATACACCGGCGTTTTTTTTTCGTCGAGTGTGTCTGATTCCAATACTAACAACCCCCAATACTAACAACCCGAACCTGTGCTTATGATGAGCTGCGCCGTCCACTTTCAATAGAATCTCCTTTTTCTTGTCTTAGAGTATTATTCTAATAATATATGCAGAGCATATTTAGGTTTAGTGGACATAGGCACAGCCAGTCCGGTCTGGATACCAATAAAAGTGTACGATGATACTCAAGGTGGCCCTCCAGATCCTGTATAGCTTGAACGGATCGTTGCAGTTGCCTTGAACCGATTATATTGATATAAATATTCAAAGGAACTCCCAACACATGTCCAAGTAACTTGGTATTGCATACAGAATCCAGCAAGTTTATTTCCATTCGGCATGGCCAGTCCGGTCTGGATACTAATGAAATCCCTAATGACCTGTAAGACTTGGTGTCAGATAGTCTCAATTATCCTATCATAAAGCTGAAATCCGTGGGAGCTTCTCGATATAGCATGCAGTAAACCTCACCATTGTCCAAGACCGCCGCTATCGATGGATTTAGTGACCTGGATATACTATTACAACCCTCCCGCCTGCCAGGGTGGCTGTACTTGTCTGTATATAAATCTCGAATACCCGCCAGAACTTAACACATGGCAACGCGTGGCACGACAGGTATTGTGATGAAGCGCCATGTATTCACTACGTTTGCGTACTGAAATAAACTTTCAGTGTTGCTTTTATATACTGAGATGTCTTTTGAAAGCAATTACTTATATTTCACAACAAGCAGCTAAATACTTCGTAGCTTCAGATTTATAATACAATTTTTGAGCTGGTGTTCTGTTATCTTCTGCATCTGAGTTGAGGTTGAGCAGCCGTTGTTAAGGCAAACTGAGCTTTCGTCTAACCGAAAGCAAGGATGTATATAGTGCAGCGAACAAATGTATTTTGCAAACTCATCCTTCTCTGGTATGGCCAAGAGTATTTCCGGAATGTTTCATGAACGCGGAGCACGTGACAGAATGTGTTTACAAATGTCGAACAAGGAGAACGCTCGACTGACCATCTCGAACGGATTGCAGGCACCAGGATCCCTTTCTCGCAGATAAGTAGATATGTTGAACGGATGTCATTTAATCAATTGAACAAACTTTTATCGTGAGAGAGCGACGGTGAGTGTTCAGAAGCACATATTCAGATGCAAATCGATGTTAATGAAGGTAATTTTGTGCAAATGACAACGCATCTTGATGACGGCCTAGTGCGTCTACTGCGTATGTATCTCTAGTTACGGTAGCATTGGCAATTCATTAGCTTCCGCTGCAACTTTCGAGCCGACCTAACTTCTTTCGGCTTTGTATCTGAGTGCACAGCACTGGTCAATATGAATATGTAGGACTCAAACGAAGGGTTGTGATTGTGAGTGTACCCGTTCCAGGACAACATTTGTGCAACATGTACAAGCACCGTTCCCTGTATGCGTGTCAAGTATATTCGGTGTACAGATAATAAAGCGCTATAGATCATGAGCTCCCGCTGTGAAATGTCAACACTTCTAGATCATCTTCGCTTGCATCCTTGCTAGTACGGCACCTACTTGGTGCGAGTGTGACAACGACTAAACCAGCGAATGGAACCAGCTTGATTATAACAAAAAAATTAAATATGTAGGCTTGTTAACAGACACATACCGGCAACGCCCTGGTGTAGACGAAGAGGTACGGTAAGTCGTTAAAAAGAAAAATCGACAGTTGCTGCATATGGCAAGACGTTCACAGTCCCCTAAAAGCACTGACTAAGGCTTTTAGGAATATGAATTCTCGCCAAGTTCAATACGAATATGCTAGTAAAAATATTACCTATATTAGGAGAAGTTTATTGGTAAGCCTAAGGCTATTACTTAATTCAGTCCCCCTGTTACGAATGGGGGGGGTGGGAGTTCTTCGGGGCATTCAAAGTGGTTGGCATCCGATGCACAGAAGTAGTTCTGATCTATAAACCCCGCGAGCCACAAGTTTGTGGACACTCCACAATGGATCGTCATCCCGATCCCGTTGCACTGGTTGCATTGTTAGCAGCCTGGTGCACTAATTTATGGGTACCTGTTGCAGGCTAAAGGGAGAAGACGCGGGGTGAACGTGTACGTATCTCAAAGAGAAGTGCGTCTATCATACCATGCTGGCATGGTATAAGCACACTTTCTTATATCTAATTCATATTTGGAGGTTGAGTCGGCGACTTCATTCCACCTACTTAGAGCCATGCTCAGGAGTCCCACAGACTTGGATTTTGCTGTTAAAAAGGTGCAAACAGTTCTTCTCTTAAACGCAGATCAGACTGAGTTTCGGATTAATTCGAAGCGTTGAGAGTCCGTTGGAAGGTGTAATGTGCACGAGACAGAGAATAAAGACAGAGTCAAAGATAGCACCAAGACGGTGTTACAAACGATAGACCCAATCAGCAGGTAGATGCTACTCTCTTCCCTCCCATAGAAAGCTGGCAGGTCGTCGTAAGTCATGTATAGCGTAAAGCTCATAATTAATAAGCACTCCGTAATCCCCGCCATTGCCGCGGAAACAAGGTGCATGGCCATAAGATTCCCAGATCCCTCGCTTTCAACGCCCGACATACGTATGTTGTTAAGCACAATAACTATACTAGCCGATACACCTGCGCACCAGGAGAATAAAAGCGACAAAAGCAAGGTTGGGTCGGCAACTTCATTCCACCTATTTAGAGCCATGCTCAGGAGTCCCACAGACTCAGGTTGTGCCATGCTTTCCTTAGTGTATACATACCAATCTCGATATAATAGACTCACTACGATCAATGCAAACCCACCGATTCCGCTCCACATTACGAATGTGTCGACCCACTTTCTACGCTGCGAGTTGAATTGGTACTCGTTATATGCGTAAAACTTCACTTGTGATTTGAACTGCGCTTCAGAATCATATTCATCACCTTCTGAACCGCCATCGCCATACATAGCTAATTCTACATCGTTATAATCAGGTAAAACCCCATTATCGAGCATCTCTTCACCAGACTCGGTGGCCTCTGATTTTGTTTTATATGCTGGTAATGGGGATGTGGGGCGATTTTGTGACATGTTATTTTGAGTATGTACATAAGGGTTCTCCTCAGAGCCCATTGAAAGCATTGACGTAGTACGCGTGTTGTCTGTTTTGGACTGTTGCATGCTAAGGTCTTTAGTTGCACGTCTTTTGAGTAATTTTTTTTTGTTTTATCTGACTGACTCCTGCAGTTGATCCACCATTATATTCAAAAACTACCACCTCTTCTAAATACACCCTGAGACTCTCATGATTTTTGACAGCAGCAATAAAACATATCAGGAGCCGGGAGAGACACTTCAGATCGGGCCTTGGCTATTTAGTATTTGCCTATTTCAGTATTTCTCTGTTATTCTGTCACTGTGTACTCAAAAAGTCAAAAGTCAAAAGCTAGGTAGTGTACATACTGTATACATCATACATGTGCGTAGATAAAATGATATAAATAAATTCATACGTAGCTTCCACAATTGTTTGAGTAGAAATAAGAAACTCGAACTTCCCATCATCATGTGACAACTAATCAAAAGGTGGTAAATTCAACCCGAACCTCGTAAGACTTACAATCACCAATTATGCTACTTTTGGGTAGATGGTACAGAACAACAAGTACTCGCAATATTTTCATTGATCGATTTCGGCTCCCAAAATACTCTTATTGGTTGCCTAAATTAATTAAGGAAACGATTGCCGTGGAGCACACTGCTTTGTTTGGCGGCGCCATATGTACTGAATTACTGACTATGTAGTTTACTGTAGATATTATTATTTTTTCTAACGATGCGTCGTTTTATTTATTTTTTAAAAACTGACAGAGGCTCATCAGACAGAGAGCAGCCAGCAGACCCTCGGTCCCTCAGCCGGCCTCAGCCCTCAGAGTTCAGACCTCAGGCCTCAGGTCTCAGGGCCTCAGGGCCTCCGGTGAGTCCGGCGGGCCTCACCCGCACGGTCGGATTAATTTCGGATTAATTTTATTTTCACCAGAGTTCCAGATATGTTCCAGACCTCCAGCCTTCAGTCTGGACTCTGGAGCCTGGCCCCAGGACCCAGGTTCTACTGCTCCAGACTTCCAGGCCCCTGTCTTATCCCCTCTACTACATAGAGTCATTTATTTAGTAACTAGCAGAGGTCCAGAGTCCAGACAGTTGTGTGTTTTGAGAACAGGGGGTACCCAGTTATATAATAACAGCCTTCAGTCTGTACTCTTTTTTTAAAATAGCCAGTCTGCCAGACACCCCAAGGCCCCAGAGGGCCCATTGCTCAAGGACCTCTCTCTCTCTCTCTCTCTCTCTC